TCAGCACATCATCACGTGGCACTGCTTCCTCGCCCCTCTTGAACTCAGCACGGGGAAGGTGTCCCATTGTGGAGGCCACCGCCACCGCCACCGGCCGCCTTCCCACCGCCATTCCCCACCCCCCACCCCCAAACCCCAATGGGGGTGGACACAACCCCGAACTCACCCAGCAAGCAGTGAGGATCGGGACCCACTCCCACGGTACGGCTACCGCACACCTGCCGGATGTCGTACAGGCGAACCGTACCGTCCTCGCTAGCCGACAGGAATACATCTGGCCACAGCCGGTTGGGAAATTGGTTGGAAATGGGTTGTTTGTTTATTTGGGTTGAGATCTTGAGGCCCTTTTCTGTGTGTGTGTGTATTAATGTGTGTGTATTAATGTGTGTGTATTAATGTGTGTGTATTAATGTGTGTGTATGTGTGTGCCTATGTGTGCGTCTGTATGTGCGCGCGCGTGTGTGTGTGTGTGGGGGGGGGGGTAAAGAGGTACCCACCCAATCACCCACCCTCCATTTCCCCTCTTCTGCCCAGTGCCAACGGCCGCGTGGCAGTTACGGGCCTTACGTCCCCTCGCTTTCGAAACACCTCACCCCACCAGTAAAAGGATGCTAGGCTGGGCCCCTAGACTGGGCCCCTCCCCCCCATAACCCCCATAACGTCGCTCTTCCCCTGCATCCGGCAGCCAAGCTGGTTGGTCGGGTCCCGTAAGTTAACAAGCCTTCGGGTAATTCGGGTAATTCACCCAACATGTACGTACCCATATGTTGGCCACATAGGTCTATCTAATTGGGACCCCCAGCTACCCCCCCCCCTACCTGGATTGACACTGGCCAGGGCCCTGACCCGGGCGCGATGGCACAGGAAGGGTCGGGCTGCTTGACGTTGGAGGTCGATCAGGCGCACCTGCGCTAGATAGATACCGCGCGCCTGTGTGTGTGTGTGTGTGTGTGTGTGTCTTTATGTACGTCTGTAGTCTGCTTTGGGACTTGCAACAGATGAACGCATTCGGGTGTCAATGGCAGTACCCATTATTTGTTTGACTACATGCGCGTGAGCTGACGGCTAATGTCGGATCGAGGATTTGCGTTCAAGTGACGACGGGCAATGCGACGCATCCTCGCTTACCTGCCGGTCGGTGCTACAACATATGAGTTTTGAGCCCCGGCTTCCTAATAGAAATCTTGCGCATAATATTGAACCGGTGTGGCCCTGCACGACGGGGATTCTAACAGGTTGGGAACGACATGGCTGTAGCCGAGATGGGATAAGTTATAATTTACCGTGTCGAAAGCATGGGCGAGAGTTCCACCAGAATAATTGGGATACCATAGTCGTAGCCGCGACGACTCGTCCCCGACAACTAGTTTGGGACGACCGTCGTCGTCGGGACAGAATGCAAGCGACGTGCAGCACGATCCTAAGGCATCGCAGCCACGTAACTCACTAAGCTGAGATATCAGAAGGCCATTACAAGGCAAAACTGAGCGACCTGTGCGCCGCTGCTCGAGAAGATACGATATGGAATGCATATCATGTGGGTCCTTAATTACATAGCGAGCAATCGGGCATGCTGGGGACGTGGTAACGGAATTGTCGCACCTGCCGAAGCGTCAGCTGGAGGTTAAGTTAAAAGAGTTGCAGTACAGTACGGAGTGCTAGTGTGCATTGCTTGCACGATTCACCCTATGGGTTAACTGATTGCTACACGTGCTTATTTGCATGCAGGATGACAATAACCGCTTGCAGCTGCCCACGTTTTTGCCTATTGGGAAATGTCGCTCGAGGGAAACAGCTGGTCCGAATTAGTCGAGCAGCTCAATATGATGGTAACAAATTTTAATGATCTTGTGAAAGCGTCTCGCATACCTGACGAATCTGTAGACGAGCTGTCGGCGTCGCGAGAACGCAAAGTGCCAGGTCCGATGCTGTGGGCGCGAGCACTTTTGCCAAACTGTTGGGAGTTGGAAACTGCGTCCGCTCTTAGAGCCAGCAGCACTGACTCCTATCCGTCTAACTCACGAAACCTGCCACAGGGGACTTGCAGGAGGTCCTGGCGGAGAAGTTGCTCTTCTCGGCATATATGTGCCTGCACCACATCTCAGAGCTGAAGAAGGCGGCTGCGCTGAGCGACCACACGACCCAGATCGGCAACGCACGCGCTGTCAAGAGCCAGATGCAGCGTACGGAGGACGTCATCGCATCCAAAATAGGGTTGATCAAGGTGGAGGCTCAGGAGCTTCTGGGGCAGCTGGAGGAGAGCTATTACAGCTCCAAGTTTAAGGGGCGGCCGACTGAAAGCGGCGTCAGCGAGCAGCTACGCGAGCTCTGCGCGCTTGCACTAGAGACCCACACCGGCCACCGCAAATGATGATATCGACTCGACCCCCACGTCATTTCATTTAACGTTCCGCAACCAGCATTCCAGTAGCCCCTTCCCACCACGTGTCACCCATACGTTCGCCCCCTGCCCCGCGCTTGAGACACGCGCTAGTGCTTCCCTGCGCTGCCACATGCTAGATTAGTTTAGCGCGCTTGGGCGGACGCAAAGGCGCAAAGGAGTTGCCCGGTAGCGTTGACGCATGGCCGGCCCCAGATCCCGTTGCTTTGGGGCCCCCTGTGGCTTTTGCTGCTGCCGGCTTCCTCTTCCCGCCACCCCAAAAGTCGCTGTCGGACGGCGGCTTTCGGAAGGTGTCCGTTGGCGCTGCTGCACCCCCGGCCGCACCAGAACCAGCGGCTAAGCTCCCGCTGGAACCCCCTAACGCGTCAAATATACGGAGATTAGACGGCTGCCACGCACGCATCTCGCCAGGCTTTTTGAACGTCTTGGCCAAGTCTGTGTCGCTGATGGAAGGTTGTGAGCCTGCAGTTGGTGAGACGCCTGATGCGCCACCCTCTTCCGGCGTGTTGGACTGTTTGCTGGCCACCGACGGTCCAAACGACATTCGGCCCGATCGAAATGCCAAGCCGGGCAAGGGCACCGGCTCATAGGTCACGATGCATCGGCCAGAAATTGATGGCTGCGACCATGCTGGATCGTCAGCCGGGGGATTGTTGGCGGCCTGCAAGAAAGCACCGGTAGAAATTGCCCTGGTGGAAGCGTGCAGAAGTGAAGGGCGGCATGTACGACTGTGTGACGCCCCGTGAGGTTTGGGGACGCTGGGACGGTCTGCTGAAATTTGTCCTTGGTTGCACACGAGCTGTAGGTTGTAAAAGATTCATTGAACGTCTGTTGAGCTAAGAAGGGGCAGGGTGTGTCAGGGCCCATATGTCCATACATACCTGAACCTGTCCGTCCTCACCAGCTGCCTCTGCAGCTGCGCTTGCAGTCGCTGCAGCCGCCACGTCTTCTTCCAATTTCCGCTTCTCAGCAGCCCGCTGAGTTATTGCGGGAAAGTCGGGGATGGGGTACGCGTCAGAAGGGGTGGGACTGACCCACGAAAAAGCAGTTCTCCTACAGTAAGCCCCACCTGCATGAATCTAAGTCCGAGGACTTTACTGGAAAGACCAGTAGCCTTTTGCTGAGCCATAGCCGTTGACTTTAACGACAGGAGCTTTCCGCCGGCTGTAAAATCGCTTTCTCGCCTTATCAAACTTTCACCTGCAAATTCCTGATTGGGATAGGATTTCCAGTTTCTGTAAGGCTTGACGTGGAATACCGATGTTCTTGCTAATGGAACGTGCCGTACCGCTGCAAAATGGGTTTTGAGGAATGGGAACAATAGTTCCATTCCAGCTGCACGAAGTGTAAGGGTACCTTGATAGCAGTGTGGCTCGTGGCGTTACATCTTAGTCTTGCCATTTTGGGGTTCCGGTACCAGTAGGCAACCATGTCGCAGTCGGCTCTCCGGCGCCTGTCGCAGCAGGTTCCGCGGCTTACCCGTGGCCTTAAGACAAGCAACCCGCTTAAGAAGGGCACTGAGAAGTACAGCCACGAGGAGATTGTTTACGGTGATGGACATCACGGTCTGCGCCCTGGGTACCACTATGTAAGCAGGGTCAAATACTTTTTTGAAGTAATTATTGCTTGCCATTTCCAAGTGTTTCAAGGTCCCTGTTTGGCGAGCTCAACGTGCTGATGGAGGGGCTGCAGATACGCCTGCTGACTGAGTTTCTGTTTGCCCACACTCCGATGCGTCACAGGACTATGAGCATGGTCCGCACTACCTGCAGCCTGAGTCGGTAAGCACTGTGTACCGGTTGCTAGTATGGACGGTCCCGCAGTAAATACCGGGAGCTCTGCGATTGGGGCACCCTGCATAATGCATGTTATGCTTATCCTTTCAGGGCCGTCTCAGCGGTTTTGGTGAGGTTCTTTCCTTACAAGCGTGACGTCCCCTTGACGCAGATTCCAAACTTCTGGTCGAAGTTCTACGCATATGCGGGCCTGACCTACGTGGTCGGCCTAGGTATTCCGGTGTTTGCCGTCTGGTGGCAACAGAGCAAGCTTAAGGCTGCTTAACTGTTGGCGGCCTTCGTTTAAGAGGCACCTTGGTGGTTGGTGGCTCAACGTGCCATGTGTTACCACAGAAGTGTGCTTAAAGTATTGGCTTATCCACTTTTCACAATATTTCTATAGGGGAGGGCACTGTGGATCACCTTCCGGTGGCCGAAGGGTGTGCGCGGTATGAAGGGGGTTTCGTGTGTGTCGCGGTAGTTACCGCACTTCGAGTAGGTAGATAGAAGTGCTGTATGGTAATGGTGACGTATTTTTGTGTAAATTTAACATTCGCTCTCCAGCGTGCTGCCGAGGCAGCTGATTACACGTTAGCAGTTAATCCGAAACTGAACGCCGAACCAAGGAGAACCACTACCAGCGCATAACCCCATCTACCTCCAACCCCAACGAGTGGAAGGAAGGAAGCAAGTAACCTACGTATCACCGGAACTCGGGCCCCAACTGCAGTCAAAGGTGAATCGTCTGTCTCCCTGCATGGCGGAACCGCATGATGCCTAAACGCAAAGTGATTCAGCTCGCTACGTCAACCCAGAGAGATCCTAGAATCTCACCACTCCGCATACCCCTCCAGCTACAAGTGTCACACCTTCACACCCACGCTATGGCTATTCTTGCCCACCAGTTGACACCCACCCACCTCCAGCGGCTGACACATCCCCAAAACACAAAAATATTACAACAAAGAATGTACAACAAAGCCCTCAAGGGGACTTCCCGAACCCGCCACCCCGCACCCGCGCCTGCTGCTTCTGCTGCTCCTTCTCCGCCCGGAGCTCCTCCAGCTCCCGATGGAGCTCCCGAACCACTTCGGAGCGGGAGGACGCAGACCGCCTGCTCTCAGATCCCACCTGCACCCGCCCCTGACCTGGCCCCTGCGGGCCCTCCCTGCGTCGACCCGCGCGGGCGGCAGTTGCGGCCGACAGCGCCCTCTCACCGGGCCCTGCCGCCGCGCCACCGCCACCGCGGTTGCCGTGGCCACTACCCGGTTCTAACCCGGGCGGTAACACTCGTTGCTTTCGTTGCCCTCGAAGCTTGATGCCGGCGGCAGCAGCCGCTCCTGACGCTGTCCCAGTCGCTATCGCCAGGGAGCCCAGGTGCCGGACCTCCGCTGGGCGCAGCCGCTTGAACGTCTCGAGGTCCTCGTCCAAGATCTCGTAGTCGTACTGTTCGGCGTCAACCTCGTCATCGTCGTCCAGAATAATGTCGTCGTCATCATCCACAATGACGTCGTACTTGTCGCTATCCTTCGTGCTCTGTTTCTTCCCGTCGGCCTTCACTGCTGTCACCAATCCCGGTTTGGATCGTGTGGCTGCTGCCGCCTGCGCCTGCACCTCCGCCGCCGCCTGGGAGCCGCCAGCTGATCGGCCGCTGCTGGACGCCTGCGTGTTGTCAATGCATTGGGGGACATTAAGCGGGTAGTGGTTATAACTGACGTATAATTTACGACACACTTCCATCAGTGTAACCCCCTCCCGGCTATACCGCCTCAGCCACCGTCCGTGTTTTAGGAACACTGGCTGGCAGGCCGTCCAGTCAGCTGCATTGCTTGGCACTGCGTTGTGCTTCAAGAGCAGGTTGCCACCACCGCACCTACCCTGCCACTTGAGCATTCGCTACACGAGCAAGCAGCATTGGATAATACCTCCAGGGCACGCTACGCCTTTTACTGCTTAGTACTGCTTTACCAGCTTGTATGCACTCACTACTAGTAGTGACTAGTACACACACAAGCTGGTTGCAACATTTCCCCCCTTCGCAGTGCACCTGCACCTGCACCTGAGTGCACCTGATCACGCAGCACAGCACCGGAGGACAGCTATACAGGACGGACACACACACACACACACGTCCGTAACCGCTTTGGGGACTCTTGGATCCCGGAGAAAGGCCGTGTGTTTACTTTTAAACCCGATTTGGCTGGCTCTTAGGACGTCAGCTGCTGACTGGATATTTACTGCGCATGGCACAACAATACGCTCTCACCGCGCGCGTGTGCTCTCTCCCATGTCCCCCGGATAGTCGCACACCGCCACACCGCGTACAAGACCCACCTCAGCGCCGCCGTCGCCACGCCGCCCAGCCGCCGCCGCCGCCGCCGCCGGCCTCCGCTCCCGACGGATTGGCCTTCCCGACGACCCCACCTCCCCCTCCGTCCGGTCGCTCTCCACGTCCTTGTCGAAGCTGTAGCCCCCCGGCGGCGGACCCAGCTGTAGCTGCCCATGGGACACATGGGCCTCCTGTGTACGGCAGGACAACAGGACGAGCATCATCGGGACATGCGCGCAAAGAACGCTTGCAAAGAGGAAGACAAACACATCAAACACACAGCACAGCGCAGCGCACACGAACCCACCCACCTAAGGCTCGTGTCTCAAAAAGAATGACCCCCACGTGTTGCGCTGTGGTATGATATGCAGTGGACGAGTTCGCATTGTACTCTTTCACCTTCACCTTCACCACCACTACCACTACCACTACCACAACCTCGTTGTCTCTACTCCGGTTTCACCTCTCCGGGGCTCAACCAGCAACCCGCCAGTGGGAGCCCCCTTCCCGCGGGCTACTCCCCCTCCCGAACGAAGAACACCCCCCCCAGCTGAACCTTCGCCCCCTCACCCACCAGCAACGGCACCCCAAGCTGAGCCGCCAACTTATCAACCACAAACCGCTCCGAAGGTGACACAATCGTGATGACGGTGCCGGCAGCCTGCGCGAAGAAATCCTCCAGACCAGCAGCTGCCGCTGCTGTTGCTGTCGCCGGAGGCCGCACGGCCGCTGCCTCGGCTGCTTCCGCCGCCGCCGCCGCCGCCAGCGCGGCCGACAGCCTGCCAGTTCGCCCTGCTCTGTGTGCGTAATGTGCGGCTGAGGACGGCAGCTCGAGGTGAAACACGGCGTCACAAGAGGGCACGTCGAGGCCGCGGGCAGCCACGTCCGACACCACCAGGGCGCGCAGGCGGCCGCGGCGGAAGTCGTTCAGCAGGTTGGCGCGAGCCAGTCTGGGCATCTCGCCGTGCAGCGCCGCCGCCTGGCCCGCCGGGAAAAAATCGGTTGGGAGGGAGACGCAAGGGGGGGATTGGGTTGGGTTATCGGGGGGTAGTTGGGGGGAAAGGAACATGTCGTACATACCCATAGCCGCGGTGTGTGCGTGAGCTTGCAGGGGTGAGTGTGTGTATGTGTGTATGTATGTGTGGCGTGTGTGGCGCGGGGAAGGGCACGAGGGCCCCCCATCCGGGCTGGACGAGCATACGAACGCGCACAACGCTGGACGCGGCTGGAAGGGGACTGAATCGCTGTGGCCGAGGATGAATTTCAAATGAAGCCCAAATGAGCGGGCAGCAAAGAGGCGGCCGGATTCTTCAAGCTTGAATCAGAAGCTCCCGAGCGCTACACACCCTCCTGGAGCATCAGGGTACCCCGCCCCGCCCCGCCCCGCCCCGTTCACAAGCTCTTCCCCCCCAAACCCCCACACGCCCATACACGTCTTGTCCGCGCACAGAGCCCAACACCCACCGA